TCACCAGGTGTTGAATGGTTTCATCTCCATTGTAAAACGCCTTCATGGGTTAAGGTGAAACCAAGATTCGGCTCATGGAGATGGGTAGAGATGTCGCTCAACATTGGCTTACTTCGCCTGACATTGAGCCAGTAAGCATTCTGAATTAAAGCTTGTATTGTTCCGCAGCTTCTCTATATCCTCGTTGCAAGGCTATGGATTCTTCTGAACGAGTTGCCATTGAAGAGCAAGTGACACGATTAAGCATGGCTATCGAGAAGTACAATACGGAGTTAATACTGAAAAAGGTAGATAAAATGCATGTGATGCGATGTAAGATAAACTGCAGCTACGTTTTCTTCAGTCTGGCTTGTACAATGAAAAGACCTGTGATCTTATCGAGTCTCCTGCTGACTTGATTGGCTACATTTACACTAATTGTATAGATTGGAAGTCGGCAAAGGATCGAGGTACGTTATTGATTTCATTTTAGAACAATCAAATAGTAGAGAGCTTTATAGAAGAGAAGATGTCTGTCGCTGAACAACTTGCTAGGGCGAATCATCTCAGGAATTTAAGCCAAATTCAAGAAGAGTTGGCCACGAGCTGGCTTATAGCAGATAAAACTGATGACGCATATGCTGTGGATCCAAATGATGTAAATTTATAGAAAAGCTGGGATTGTTATTATCATAGATCATTCTGCAGACGATGGGAAATGCTGCTCTCGATGTTGGCATAAGTGGGTCAGATGAAAATGAGCTGTTCCTGTTGCCATTCTTTGACGTGACCGTTGACAGGTAAATTTTATCATCAAATTATATATTTTAAGGGTGGAACCAATGTGTTTGTGCATTTATATGATGAGATTTCTCTGCGGCAAGTTCTGAAAGAGAGCTTTCAAGTACAACGTATGTGAAATCTTATCCCTTTATATTCTTATTTAGAATTGTGTACATCTTAAAGCTCATCAATATGGACAAGATCATGGGAGATTTGATCACTTACTTGCGAAGGGTTGGTCCTTCTTCTCTATCTCAAAAAGAACCAATTTTGTCGATGTTGTAGGATGCGTCTAATGTTGCTGGAGGGTTTAGAACAATAGTACGAGCAGCATGCGTTTTGTTACGCGCCTACACAGATGCACAGCTGAAGAAAGCTAACTATGACCATTTGAAAATATGGCAAGTTTTTTTTTTTCAAAAATCTAATTTGACGACTTGTTAATTTACTTCTAAAGAAAGACGATGCGGGAATAATAGGAAATGGTAAGGCTATAATAAATTTAAAACGTATGTAAATCTGTGTTTCTAGTGTTGATCTG